GCCTCATGTTAGTTTCAAGCTGCCTGGCTGCCTGCCGCCATCTTGGCTGGCAGTTAATTTGCATATCGCCCTGATTAGCCAATGGGAAGGGTAGCGGTTGTACGCTAATTACCATGTTTCTCTTTTATTAGCTAGGATATGTACTATATGAAGGATCTCTTACCCTTTGAGACAGCATGGAGGGACCTAGAGAGTATCATGCTAAGCGAAATAAGTCAGAGAAAGACAAGTATCACATGATGTCACTCATATGTGGAATCTAATGAACAAAATGAACTGATGAACAAAATAGATCCAGAGACATGGAAGCATAGAACAGACTGTGGAATCTCAGAGGGAAGACGGATGGGTGGGAAATGATCAGCCAAAGAACTTGGATGCATATATGCATAACCCATGGACACAGACAACAGGGTGCTGAAGGCCAGGGGTGGGCTAGCAGGGGTCAATGGGGGGGGGAACATGTAATACTTTCAACAATAAAGATTAATAAAAAAAAACCACATGTGGGTGTCGGGCCAGCCTGTTCTGCGCCTCTGCCCCTCCTACCAGTCTTGATGTGCTTTCTTCTTTACTTCTCTAGCTGTAGGATTTCCATTCAGGGTGCAGGTGGTCTGAATGATGGTTGTTCTGTATTTTAGTTGTCCCAATCAGATATTTAAAGAAAGGAACTTTCACAGCTGTAAAGTGCTGTGACTCATAAAAGCAAGGCAGGGTTTCTCAGGACAGGGAGCAGCAGGAGCCCTGAGAACATGAGCAGGATTTGTTGGGAACCAAGCAGCTCCTCAGAATGCACAGGGAGAGCTTCTGGGTTAGGCATGAGACAGAGTTTAGCCAAGGCGACTGGAGCAGGCCGTACTGGGTGGGTGTCTCCATTAATAGTGGGTAGATGGGTATTTTTATTTGCAGGCCCCCAACGGCCAGCTGTTGGCTGAGCTGTGTCCAACATGTAGCGGGGATTTGCTCCAGTCCGGCCGTCACCTGAACTCAGAAACAACCCCCACCCCTGCTCAATGAAGGTCTGTCTCCCAGCTGGCTCATGGGCCCGGCCTCTGTTGCTGGTCATCTGCCAGATCTATCATGGGTGGCCAAGGTGAGTGCTCTTTGACCCAGTGACCCCACCTGCAGGAACCTCCCACCAAGTGTCCTTGCACAGGTGTACACATTCATCAGGGCCAGGACACTCACTACAGTGAGGCTGGAACCTGAATAGCCTGGGAATGATCACGGGAGGGACATGGGAAGTGGGCAGTAGGCATTCAGTGAGACTTAGAACCACATGCTGGCCAGACAATGGAATGGGGAACACTCCGTGCTTACACGTGCAGTTGGGGCAGAGGGTACAGAGAACCCCAGCTCCCTCAGGAGTGGGACTGTAGATGGGGGTAGTGCCTTCTGCCACCCACCTTGTACCTTTAAGTTCAAAGCTGGGGTGTTGATGGTTTTATTTTTAAATAATTGATTTTAGAGAGAGAGGAAGAGAGAGGGAGAGAACGAAACATCTATGAGAGAGAGACTCATGTTTGGCTGCCTCCAGCATGGCCCTATTGGGGAACGAGCCTACAACCTGAGCATGTGCCCTGACCGGGAATCAAATGGTGACCTCTTGGTTCATGGGTCGACACTCAACCACTGAGCCACACCGGTGTAAACATAAAAACACTCAAACCTGTAAAGCGTTTTTGTGAGTTTATTTGAGCGAAACTGTCGACAATTGCCGGAAAGCAGAAGCTCAACGTGTTGCGATAATGCTGTGGAGAATGGCAGTTTTTTACCTTGTTTTATACATTACAATCAAAGGAGGAGACATAAGAAATCCATTGGTGACAGATTAGGTGGGGCAGGAGAAAGGAAAGCGGGGAAACCTTTGGGATTGGATAAAGAGTAAAATGATAGACATACACTTCTTTTACTTAGGTGGGTGCAGGATAGCTAACAGTCCACAATTAACACAATAACAACGAGGGGATTTATGATCTCCGCTGAGTGATGCCTGCGCTTTGAGGGGTCCGGAAAAAGGGAAATACTTTTACATTCCAGTGATATGTTATCATAGATACAAACAGACAATAGGCTCAGTTAAGGTAAAGATTGACCTTTGTCAGGGAAGATACTGGTCTGGGACATGACTACGTACCATAAACTGCTTTAGTTAAAGTTTTAATTTCAGACCCTCCTTTGTGGTTATTTTAGGTCTCTGAGTTTGCAAAGCTGCCACAGAGGCCTTCCCTGAGCCAGCGAGGTTGGCATGTGGCCCCTTTTTGTCCGCACCGGCCAGGGCAAAGGTGAGATTTTTAACCAAGTACCTGCACTTCTTGAGATAAATAGAAAATCAAACCTTTCATCCTGGCAATGTTTAGAAAAATCCCGTTCCGGCTGAGTACAGCAGCGATATGGCGAGGAGGGGTGCCTGTCCGAGGGTGGTGGGCCCAGGATGGGGTGGGCTCTCTCTGCTGTTGGACATGCACAGCTGGAGACCCCCTGTGCCACATGCCTGCATGGACTCAGCTCCCCCTGAGGCCAAAAGGACGAACAGGGGTCAGGTGGAGAGGGCAGAAGTAGTGTCCCAGGTAGTGGTGAGAGGCCACGGTCCCAGCACAGACCCCGGGCTGGGCCACCCCTGCCCCTCAGGTTCCTGTGGGCTTCCAAAGCCTGAGCTGGTCAGGGTCACTTGAGGCCTCCACACACCCTCTCTGTGCCAGGACCTGCTCTGTTCCCAGCCTGCAGGGCCCAGTCCGCCTTGTCCTGAGGAGCTGGCCTGGGAAGGTAAGACTGGGGCAGGTTTTCCCATCCCTTTCACGGGGCCCATGCACAGTCCGTGCATTCAAGTTGCTTTGGGACCCATAGGTTTGCTGCTGGCTGGGACCCATCCTGCCCCCTGCTCTGGTGGCCTGAGGGCTGACGATCAGATCCTGCCTACACTTCCCTAACAAGCAGGCTGCGTGACTGGGCCTCCTCAGCCCTCTGGTTTTTGGGGGCCACTCCTTCCACACTGTGGGTGGAATCCAGCTCAGCCCCTGGATGCTCTCCAAATTTTCCATTTGACATCACCTGTGATCCTTGCCCTGGGCTAAATAGTGTCCCCCAAAATTGTGTAGCTGTTAATAGGACCTTATTTGAAATTAGGGTCTTTGCAGATAGAATGATGTTAAAAAGAGGTCACACTGGATTAGGGTGGACCCTAAACCCAATAAAGGAAAAAGGCCAGGTGAGGAACTAACGAGACAGAGAGCCAAGGAACACCGAAAACGCCTGGGGCCACCAGCAGCTGAGAGGCGCAAAGGATCCTCCCCTGGAGCCAAACCCCAGGTCAAGAACCTAACATGCAAACTGGCTATAAACTGGCGAGCCCAGAAAGCAGCAACCTCAGGGAGGCGGGAGGCCAGGAACAAAACTCAGGAAACCAGGACTAAACATATCACTGGAATGTCAAAGCTCACACCCTGGGCACTGCTTCGAGGCAGGCTGGTGGAGCGTGTGGAGCGAGCTGCAGGGTAGACTGGACTCCAGCTTGTGGAAGTGGCTTTAAGTCCGTGGCCGCACTCGCTGGCTCCGCTTCTTCACATCTCGGGGATAAGCCCGGGGTGTCATCGGGGCCGGGACGTGCACCGGCACGAGTCT